ACACCATAAGAGCAGGACGTACCACTGAACGCTCTAGCTAGAGGATAGGTAGCGTTGGACGCCCTGGAGACCAGGAGGTAGCGTCGGACCCCCAGAAATCCAACGCCCGTCATCTTACATCCTCCAGAGTGTCCAACGCTACCTCCCACCCTCTAGAACGTCCAATGCTACCTCCTGCCTTTCGAGGTGTATGCCCGAACTACATGGGCACGTTAAGCCGTCGGTCCCGTTTGCTCTTTATGATCACTTAGACAGCGGTCATTACACAACCTTGTCAGAGGCCTGCTCCTTGCAGTAGGCGGTTTAAAAACTCTAACACCAGGGTTCATCGGGTCGTTGGGCGACTTGGTGTACCACTCGAAGAAGAAGAAGTTCCCCTTAAATGCAAAAAAAGCCATAATACTAAACAAATCTAGGATTTCGGCCAAAATCCTAGGTTTTTGGCCAAAAACCTGGATCAGCTTAGGACGATGGCCGAAAGAAGTCTACGATTTTGCCATATGCCGGCTTTTGGCCAAAAACCTAATTCTGCCATCGTACTGCGACATATATATTTCCTCCATGCTACTGTTGAATTAATTTATAGGAAGCATATAACTAATAGATAGTGGTCTTACCCGTTGAAGGGTATAATCTGTTCTTTGACTTCATGGTGTAGTGTGGTGTGATCTATAAATTATCCATAACTAAGCTAGTACCTACTATCTTCAAATTATTCATGTAAGGAATTAATGTACAGTGGTTCTACGAAAACAAGCATACCATTAAACGGGTAGGGTGATCCGCTGCTGATAGTACTTGCTCTACGTGTTATCTAGGTAATACTGGACTGTTGATATGGAATTATCATGAATTTGATGACGATGACTATGTTTTTTTTTTGCAGCCACAACAGCAATGCAAAAGACGTATTGAGCAGAACATGTTTCGATTACGTACCTATCGTAGAAAGAGAATTATAAAAATATCACACGTAGTCTACACAGGTTGCTAAGTATTTTTTAGGACAAAACCTGACAAAACAACTTCTCGCTCTAGAGATAATCAATTTGATCATTGAGGAACAGTAAGGTTGATATTTTGAACAGCACCTATCTTTTAGTGACTAGTTGTTTGACGGTTTTATCGTCTTAATCCAAATTATCCTACCATCTACGTAGGTGAAACATAGATGAAACATCAGACTGAGTAGTGTTGTTATCGTATAAGCATTCTCAATATCCCCAAGCGAAATACCTAGTCGAGAAAATTCTTCACGCTTAGAAAAACATATCGTTAAACAGACAGGAAGAGAATTCCCTGAGTTGCCATCCTTGTTCAACACAATACAATGAAGACTTGAAAGCGTACGACTACAGTGTCCACTACTGACTACAGTGTCTGAACTAACACTAGGGTTGTGACATTAGTAACAATAAATCGATTTTTCAATAATCGATTATGTCTAGTCCGATCGATTACTATAAATAAATAAATAAATGTTTTCTCTGTATAAAATCAAAGAAAACGTCAATATTTAAAATAATCAATTTGTTTAACTTGATTTTAGGTATAAATAATAATTGTCGTCAGGAGGAAAATTTACATCATCTCGTGCTTTCTAAAGCAAAATATTACAAGGGAACTGAAATATGGTATCTTCTTGTTGATGTTACACAAGACCCGAGATTTATTGGAGCAAAAACGTGCCACCAAAATTTGTGCTCTTGAATATTCGAAAAATCGATTTTTAATTTATCAATTAGGCATAATCAACAAATAAAAATCGGTTTATTTTTTCGCCATATCATCGATTTTTGTTATAATCGATAACTTTTCACATCCCCTCTGAGTACAGTGTTACCCTGAACTAACACTAGTCGCAAATAGGAATCCGCGATCAAACAACTATTTCAATTTCGTTTCGAGTCGCGGGAGTTACGCGTCGCGACACGAGAACAGGTTTATTTAGTATCTTAACTGGGAGAGAGATAGGCATAGTTTTTTTTCTGACTTGTTCTTCTACAGTCGTGGTGTAGAAAATTGAACAAATTCGTAGTTGACGAATGAACTGGCAAAAATTAGGGAGACGGCGCGGCGGCGCGCGGAGCGCCTTTACAGAAGGCTCACTAAGTCAGTACTAGCGTCGATTTTGACGCTTACTGGAATGAACTGGAATCTCAGAGGAACTCAAGGCAACTAAGTAGATGGTTGCAACGAACGTCATTTTTCTTGAATGTTTCTTGAAAGTGGCATAGAATCATATTACGTCCTTGTGATTATTCTTATACTTACTTTGAAATTTTGGACTGTAGCATCCCTGGCTGTTAAGAAGTGAGAATCGCGTAAGTAAATCCTAAATAGGGTCAAGTGATCCTTTTGTAAACTCTCTATTTTGTGCCCCTTGTGTCAGTAGGAGAAACAACTTGACCAATTTAGTTAGGGAATTAGGGCAAAACGAACAAAGGTGTGGTAGTAGTAGTAAAATCAAGTCTAATCAGGCCTTCATGAATGAAAAACACTTTCTTCTTACACCCTGTATACATGCTGCACTTTCAAAAGTGTTCATTGCTCAGCTGAAGCGCAGTCTCCCCGAATATGAAACCAGCCCCTAATTCCCGAGATTAAGAAGTTTCAGCCGATATTAAACATCTCTGAAGGCACCTGCTCTGCCAAACTTTATGAAGAACTGGCTATCTTCACGCTGTATTCATTTAATAATCCACCAATGGGGCATTCCATGGTAATGTCCCGTACGGCAAGCTCTGTTTTCTTTTCTGTGTGCGACACATAGATTTCGCAAATACGGTATTGAAAGTGACTAAACTGCATTTGATTCTATACGTCCCGCCCGTAGCTTTGTATGGTAGGTGTGCTAATAATACAGGGTGTTAGGGACGGGGTAACGAAAACTTTGCAGGTATGATCAGACCAGGAAACTACACAACTTTTACAATGGAGCCAATGGTGGGAAACGAAAAAAAATTTCCGACCTCCCATACAAAGTCAGTCAGCTGATCGTGAATTACGCCTGCAAAGTTTTCGTTACACCGCCCCTAACACCCCGTATAAGTTTCTACGAAAATAGCTTGTCAAATCAATATGTAAACAAAATTTCATCAGTTTCATTTCATTTCCTTACTCATTTTTCATATTTTTTGTTAGAAATTTTAATACAACAATTAAAGCTACGTTCTCGATTTATGCGATATTGATACCAAACTCGAAGTAGTCAACACCAGATCCAACTTTGAAGCCACTTGTTGGAAAATATGGAAAATAGACTGAACAAAACGAAATAAAAACTTGTTTATTTCCTTATTTTACGATTTTACGGAGATACTGCCTGTCTGCTACGCCGTAGCGAAAGCTACGAAACCCTAGCTTTGTAGTGTCTTGAAAGGTAAAGAATTCGAATTGACGTACTTTGTTCAGGCTACAAAGCATTCCACGAACGAAGCGTCCACCTTTCCAAGAAAATATAAAGATTTGTAGGTATTTAATTAAATAACTCGTCAAACGTGGCAAATGAATCTTGGCAGGAAATCCCACGGATTCTTTCAAAGTACGGAAAAGTATCTCTATTGAAGATAATAAGAGATAATGAACTGGTATTGAGTTAATCAACTGTGAAGTTTAAAATATGAAAACGCAGTAGGTAGATGAAGTGTGGTGCCGGCTCAGAATGACATCACCCCATAACTTTCACGTGTGGGTGAAAGTAAGGCGTAAAAAGCGACTAAGTGATTTGAGAGCTGATCATCTACCTGGGCTTATCCCAAATACTCAGCGCAACATGTTTTGCATGTATGACATTATATTATGTGTATGTGTATTTGATAGGTTATGCCTTGGGTTCATCAATTGAGTCGTAGCCTCGGCAAATGCACAGTTCGCGGCTGATAGCAACTAGATGGCGAAAACGAAAGATCGTGCGTATGGCGTACTATTATGTATTTTGTGGTATGGCGCATACAAGAGGAGGTCTATATCCAGCAGTGGACTGATATAGACTGACATGGACGTTACGAGGATAGAATTTAATTCTTCTCAAAAAAACTTGTGTTAAAGTACCTAATACGATTTCCTCCTTCTTCTTCGTGTCAATGACTCAACAGTGTTTAGCGATAGCCACGGCACTCTCTGTCGCCAAGTTAAGGTCTTCCACGCTGCAAGTGTTGGGCAAAAGAGGGCATGTTATCAACGTGAGCCATCGATTGGGATGGGGCTCCACAGTCGCAATTGGACCGCGTTTTGTTCATGATTTCCTCCATCATCATCTTCCTGCCCTTATCCCAATTACTTGGGGTCGGAGCAACATGTTTTGTCGAACACAAAATCGTGTTGCAAAGGATTTGGATTAATTTTACGACCGGCCGCCTACCAGACGTCAACCCTCCTTGGGAATGCTTTTGTGGTGGATTAACCGCCACCATACGGTTGGCCCTGGCTGTTTGGGTCGTGTTTATTCCTCGGTCGCCTCTTTAGACCCCCACGGGAAGAGAGGGGATTGTGCTATTCTACTCTGCCGGCACTACACAGCATGATTTCCTCCAATAAGAGAGAATTAAAAGAGTTTTTAAACCTGAAACCTATTTATTTACGACAAATTAACACTAAGCAGATTAACCTCTCCGGGACTTGTTCTTGTTCTCATGGTTCTTTCGAGACTGTGATTTCTTTTTGTGAGGCTCGCCGCCGCCGCCGCGACTCCATACATTTGATAAACTGTAATATAAATAAAACAAAAAAAATATTACCAACTCATCTAAACCATTTAGAATGACTAGATCTATATCTTTCCCGTGGGTGCCGTAGCGACTAAGGGATAAATTAATCCATGGGTTCAATCCCTGGATGAATTTCACAATTTCGCCTGCCAGCCAAGCGTGGTGATGGCAATTACCCCCGTAATAGGGGGAGGCCCATGTTCAGCAGTGGACTTTATTGTGGATGTTATGATGATTGGGATTCTTGGAGATGAGCATCAAGGGATAGAGAATTTGGCTTCATCCACCGGTGCATCGATAGCTCAGTGGCAGAGCGGTGGAGCGTTTACCCATGCGCTATGCTGCCCGGGTTCGATCCCCGGTCGATGCAATGCATGACATTTTTTTCTGTTTCTTATTACCTGACTGCCTCAGAAGGAGGGTTATATTTTTCGAGAATATATATGTGTGTATGTAAGTATGTATGTATGTGAACAAGAAAATTCTTTTTCACGGGCTACAGCCCAAACGGATATGTCGTTAGATCTGTCTCAGCACCACGAGTGACACTGGCTATATCAAAATATCGTAAATTCATGATGGCGGATTTTTATCGCAAAATACAACTTTGAAATTACCGCAGTCGGGTTTTTGTTTTTAATAAATACATCAGCTTGTTTTCACTTGTGAGAATGGCTAGATGTCTAGGCTACAACTGTAGGTACGTAGTAAGTAGCCATCTAGCCATTCAAAATGAAGTCGTTGCGAGCCATAATGCAGGCATACCGAATGACCCACTTACCTGTAAACCTAAGCTCTAACAGATTGAACTGAACAACTTTCCTTAAAGACCGAAGTTCAAAGCCTAAAATATAAATTGGACCTCCCGTACAAAAAAATCTGCTGTCGGAGCAGAGTTCCAAAGGCTTTGGACTTTGGTCTTTAGGGAAAGTTGTTCAGTTTGCACAAACAAATAGTAAAACATTCTTACTCAGGCCTGTTCGGACTCGTGTAGTGGAACACAGCGATGAGCACCATAGAAGATAAGCACGTACATATTATCAAGAGGATTAATGCTGGCTCTAAATTCTGCATGCTTAGTGTGTCTGATGGATCTTATTTTGCAGATTCCTTTTTCACTCTGATCGAAGCTTATTCACAAGACAGCAGCAGTTCTAGCAGAAAAATGCAAAGAATCAAAGAATTGAAAAATGCAGTTTTTTTAAAGTGACCGTGGCCTCTGTGAACAAAGGACAATCCCGCCAATGTCAGAGTTAGAAACTGCATCAGATATATGGATTGGATATGATGCTACTATGATGATTGATGACGGCATGTGTCTGCACAGATCCCGTCCATACGAGCAGCGCACCTAAATTAATAATTATAACTTATTTTAATTCAGGGGAGGTCTAAATGTTATAAATATTCGCACTTTTAGTGTCTCATAAGAATTCAGTCAAAGGGTCCACTTTTTGCCTTTTATTCAACATTCTATTGGCATCCATTTGATGCTACTAACTTTCCGTGAAACAAGAGTCCCCGTGTCCAAACTACTAGGAAGGGTCTGATCGATTACATTACATCGGCCCCAAACTTGTCATAACTCGAATTCAAACTAGTTTTTGTGTTTTACCCAGTTTTACATAGAAATTTTGTGGGCTTTGTGAAAATAGATACGTGTACCTAATGTAAGGGACATTATAGCGGGTAGGTAAAGGACTGCTCTCTGAATGAAACTGAACAAGGAAAGAAAGGTAGTGTAAGATTAGGTAGGTAAGTATTCAGTTTCATGAGAGAAAGGAAGTCAATCACGATGAGTATTAAAGTTTCAGTCTGGTTCTGGCAAAGTTCTGCTTTTAGTCACAAACTAGGGAAGCGGCTTTGGAAGCGGCTTTGGAAGCGGCGCGCGGGGTGCCTATATTAGTAACCGTAGCCGCATAGCTGATGCAATTTCTGTGATTTCAGTCCTTATCAGTGTCACTGATTTACTCTATTGTTACAGGTACCTACTATCAGAAGCATGTGGCATCCTAATGAATCGTGAGACTGTTACGCAGGTTTATTCGAACGCTAAAAGGGTAAAGTCAGTAGAAATCTTTTAAATATTACCTGATTTATGGAAGAAAGGGATCTGAAATTACAACATTATTGTTTGCGTTTTTTTCATATTACATGACATTTGACAATAATAATTTCGGGTACCCTTCTTCTATGAATCAGATAGGACTAACGATAGTACCTAGTACCCTCATATCGCCATTGTGACGACTGTGACACGACTTTTGCGCCAATAAAAAACGCCTCAAAACCGTAGGCCACTTGAACCCTGAAAGGTCAGTACGTCACTACCCAATGGCCCGGTTTCATGCGCATATTTTATTGAGGCGGTCAAGTCAGCGGCTGGGCCCAGTAAATCGAGCTGGGGATTTACTGCACCCACGCAGTAATATACTGCTGGTGGAGCAAAAACTTCAAATGTACGCTCTTATCGGGATTGCGTGAGACAGAATTAATGTGTAGGTATGTCAGTGTGAAGAACATCAATTTCATTATAATAACTTAGCAAACTTGCGTTGGTCGGGTTCATCGGGTCGTTTCACGACTCGTTATCCCACATAAAGAGAGAGAGAGCAAACTTGCGTGGGGCCAGAATCAGGATACGTAGTACCTACCGTAGAGTAGTAAGCTTTGGTGTCTAAATGAATTCACACGCAATGGCGTATTGGAAAGATTGGACCACATTTCTGAAGGCGTCATTTCTGAAATCGTGTACGGAAAGGTGTAAGACTGGTCTAACCACTCATATATACATGTAAGTATCACACTTTCCACTACTCGAATTTGTTAGCAGGTAGGTAGAATGTTTTGGAATTGATTAGGGTATGTTTGGATGGATTTGAATACTTAGTAAATCTGATGATACAAGCACAATTAGTAGCAGGTTTTCGCATAAGAAAATTCAAAAATAGAGGCCCCTAATAAGGGCGCCACTGAAACTTCGTTTAACCAGCAAAAACTTGATTACTCATACATACATTTGGATTTAATTATATGGATTGGTTTGTCGCTGGCTAAAAGTAATCAAAGTATGAATTATAGCGTTAAGTCTAGACAATGTCTAGACAAGCTAGTAGTTAGAACTATGAAACCTAGAGCTTAGAACTGAGTATTTATACCGGGAGTAACGGAAAGGGTATAACAAGCCGAAAGGAGGTCAAGGTACTCATGAAACTGAACAACTTTCCCCATGGAACATGGGTCGAAATAAGAAAAAAAAATTTGGACCTCCCATAGTAAATCAATTAGCTCATCGGCGATTTTGTATGGGAGGTCCAAATTTTTTATTTATATTTCTACCCATGTTCCATGGGGAAAGTTGTTCAGTTTTATGAGTACCTTGACCTCCTTTCGGCTTGTTATACCCTTTCTGTTACTCCCTGTATAAGTAGCGTGTTTGCAACTGAGGGCAAACATTTTTTAACATTTTTCTACATATCTACATACTAGCTGGTACCCGCGAACTTCGTATCGTTTCATTCCTTAAACCTGTTCAAATTTCTGATTTCCTTACCAGCATCCTAAAAATCGTCACGTTCTAGATAATCATCACGCAAATATTGTTGGAAATACATTTTTCAAACCATAGTTGCATTGCCAACAGATGCCAGCAGAAGCGTTCCATCTTGCTGAACAACTTTTGCTTTGGATTCATATCTGTATCTCCTATATTTCAGCTGGGCTCCTGGTGGTGCACCTGGTGGTCTACATCAGGTACTCTATAAACCTTCGTTGTCTATTTGCCAAAAGAAGCGTCCCATCAACCTGAACAACTTTTGTTTTGGAGTTATATCTTTATCTCTTATAGTATAGCTGGGCTCCTGTTGGTGCACTTGATGGTTTACATCAGGTACTCCAAACCTTCGATATCTTTTCACCAGCAGAAGCGTCCTATCAAGCTGAACAACTTTTGCTCTAGAGTCATATCTGTATTTCCTATAGTTCATCTGGGCACCTTATGGTGCACCTGATGGTCTACATCAGGTACTGCAAACTTTCGTTGTCTATTCGCTAGCAGAAGCGTCCCATCAACCTGAACAACTTTGGCTTTGGAGTTACATCTGTATTTCCTATAGTTTAGCTGGGCTCCTGTTGGTACACTTGATGGTCTACATGAGGTACTCCAAACCTTCGATATCTTTTCACCAGCAGAAGCGTCCTATCAAGCTAAACAACTTTTGCTCTGGAGTCATATCTGTATCTCCTATAGTTCATCTGGGCTCCTTAAGGTGCACCTGATGGTCTACATCAGGTACTGCAAACCTTCGTTGTCTATTCGCCAGCAGAAGCGTCCCATCAACCTGAACACGGATGGTGGAGTACCTGATGGTGGTCTACATCAGGTACTCCAAACCTTCGTTGTCTATTCGCTACCAGAAGCGTCCCATCAACCTGAACAACTTTGGTTTTGGAGTTACATCTGTATTTCCTATAGTTTAGCTGGGCTCCAGTTGGTGCACTTGATAGTCTACATCAGGTACTGCAAACCTTCGTTGTCTATTCGCCAGCAGAAGCGTCCCATCAACCTGAACAACTTTTGATTTGGAGTTATATGTGTATCCCTAATAGTTAAGCTGGGCTCCTGGTGGTGCGTCTGATAGTCTACATCGGGTGTTCCAGACCCTCAAGTAGAAGCAAAAGTAGCCTATGTCCGTTCTCGGTGTATGAGTAATCTCTGTGCCAAATTTCATCAAAATCGATTTAGTGGTTAAGGCGTGAAAGCGTTTTCGGTACACCGTCACTAACACCCTGTATAATTGTATAAGTATAGTATGGAAGTATGGATATGCATTGCTCGTGACACTTGGCGTCCTATGTAACTCCTTTTTGATGCGTTTAGTGTGTTTCATATGGCGCGCGATGGCCATTCTGATACCTACGTAGGCATTCATCATCCCATTTTTCATGAACTATGCATTCGGACAAATTAACATGCAAAGTTTTTTTTGGTAGCAAGATCTTGATGATACCTAAGTATATTACTATCTTTTTTGAGCGCCTGACAAAACCTGCAGAGCAATATCAACCACGGATACTTGTGTGTTTTCTTTCTGTAGGTAGTTTTGGGCGCCTGAATAAATAGTTTTTTGGATTTTCAATTTTCCAACGGAATTTTTCCGCGGAAAAAAGTAGCCTATGTCCTTTCTCAGGTTATTATCAATGTTCATGCCAATTTTCATCAACATCTGTTCAGTGGTTTAGGCGTGAAAGCGTAGCAGACAGACAGACAGACAGACAAAGTTACTTTCGAATTTATAATATTAGTATGGAAGTATGGATGTACATACATATATCACGCATACCTATCCCTTTCGGTGTAGCCAGAGCGTA